TCCCAAAAAAGTTTTTTTTCTTGAACGGTGCGAAATTTCCCCTTCACAGTGGAACTGGTTTTTTTCCCCCCCAACACAGTTTTTTGAAGATTTTTCCTTTCAAGTGGAACGGGTTCTCCCCCAATACAGTTTCTTGTGAACTTCCTTCACAGGGGAATGGTTTCTCCAATATAGTTCTTGAAAATTTCTTCACAGTGGAACTGGTTCTCTCCAATACAGTTCTTGTGAGACTTTCCTTCACAGTGGAACTGGTTCTCTCCACCAACACAGTACTTGTACAACTTTCCTTCACAGTGGAACTGGTTCTCTCCAACACAGTTCTTGTGAGACTGTCCTTCACAGTGGAACTGGTTCTCTCCACCAACACAGTTCTTGTGAGACTTTCCTTCACAGTGGAACTGGTTCTCTCCACCAACACAGTTCTTGTTAAGTTAATAGCCTTAATACAATATACAAAAACGCCTACATGACACTGAGTGTTGGCTGCGTCTCGACGCCACTTCAGTGAACGTGAAGATAACATTACTGTCCTTGAAACTGCATTGCAATCGAGGCCAACATGTTCCCCCACTTCACCTGCAGATCAACTAACACATCTTCCTTCAACTCTCCATTTCCACCCACACGTTAATGATCACATTCGCCCACACGTCAAACTTGGCTACAAGACGGAGTACACATACCTGGTGTCCTTTCTTGCGGTTTTATGATGGTTCTAGTTAGATAATCCTGGAGGGAGACGCCAGGTAACACCACCTCCTCCAACACATGACAACACCTGACTGAGGATGAGCTTCGAAGTTTTCGTTGCCTATTTTTTTTTTTTAATTTGAGAGTCGTACCGCCTTGTATTCATTTCCCTTCATGTATGACAGTCAGTGGTCAGCCAAGCTTAGGTAGAGAATCATTACTAAGCGTTGGTGCCCACATGCTTAAATACCAGAGTAAATGTGGACAAAATAATTAACGAAAGATATTCAATATCTGACGACATTGCATGCATCCGCACATGTTGCCATATTAAGAGCAGTATTAACAGTTTCCATTAGTAAGTTTATTCAGGTATAAGTACACATGAATACAGTTACATATATTATATATAACAGCTTATGTGTAGGTTACCTGGGATACCTCCCCCCCCCAAAAAAAGTCAAAGTGGCTTATTTCCATTGATGTTCTTGCCTCAGTGAATCATAATCTCATTTATATAAATAAATATATATACATGTAACTCAAAACCAGGTTCCTGAGAATCAGTACTCACACCCAGAGTTATTACATAACTTCAGGCTAGTTACACAACACACAAACAACGCCACATATAAAATAACTGAATGTTAAAAGTTAGGAACCTCGTGACGTCACAGGCTGGAGAGGTGCCAGTCAGCGCCATAACTTCACATAGTTTGAGTTTAATGACACGAATAGACATTAAATTAATTCTTTTTTTTATGACATAACCTGCGTAACTTGTTCTTATTTATGTACGTTTGTTCGAACAACTATTAGAAGTGTTGTGATGTTTCATTATATATTGTAAAACACTAGTATTTACAAGTTAGTAGTGTTAGTATATATAATGGAATGTATTTATTTTATTTAAGAAAGCAAAGTTGATTTGGTGAACTTATTACCCTACCCGTTGTTAAAGGCACTTGCCGATAGACACGACTTGTGTGTGTGTGTGTGTGTGTGTGTGTGTGTGTGTGTGTGTGTGTGTGTGTTGTGTTTTGTGTGTGTGTGTGTGTGTGTGGTATGTGTGTAATGTGGTGTGTGGGTGTGGTGTGTGTGTTGTGTGTGGGTGTGTGTGTGTGTGTGTGTGTTGTGTGTGTTTTGTGGTGTTTTGTGTGTGTTGTGTGTGTGTTGTGTGTGTGTGTGTGTGTGTGTGTGTGTGTGTTTGTGTGTGTGGGGTGTGTGTGTGTAGTCACCTAATTCTACTCATCTAATTGTGGTTCCAGTAAAGGGCGAAATCATAGCTCCTACCCCCGCCTCTCCCTGCTTCATGAGCTTTATCATACCTCTTCTTAAAGCTATGTATGGTATCTGCCTCCACTGTGTGTGTACTCACCTATTTGTGGTTTTCAGGGGTCGATTCATAGCTCCTGGCCCCGCCTCTTCCTGATCGCTACGGGTCCTCTTTCCCTGCTCATGAACTTTACATCCTAGTCTTAAAACTATTATGGTTAGCCTCCACTATGCCACTTGGCCAGGACTATTCCATTCCTAAACTCTATGATTAAATAAATACTTCTTAACATCCTTCGACTCATCTGAGTCTTCAACTTCCAATTGTGACCTCTTGTCTCTGTGTCCCATCCTGGAACACCTGTTCTGTCACCTTGTCAATTCCTGCAGTATTTTGTATGTGGTTTTCATGGGCTCCCACTGCCCTCTGTCCTAAGTTCGTCAGGGGCCCATTTCCCTAAATTTCTTGTCGGACATTCCCCTTAGCTCTGGAACTAACCTTGTGCAAACTTTGCACTTTCTATAATTTCTTACTCTTGCCATTGGGGCCCAAATTTTTTCTCCCAACTCTAAATAATTAAAATCTTAACTTTTCCTTGGATTCAAGTATTTTTCACCCCAAATTGTGACTTTTCTTGTTTTTTCCTCGGAAGGGGTTTTTCCACCCCCAATTTTTTCCTGAGGAGATGGTAAAGGGTTTCCCCCGCCAATGGCAATTTCACAAATATTTGTGATCCTTTATTGACTACTTTGGAAACTGGGCCTTTTTAATTTTCCAAAACAGCACCTGGGTGGAAAACGGGTATTTAATGCTGAGGTCAGGTGAAAAGTATCTTGATCCGATTTTGTGGGGTAGGGAAAGGGGAATTTACCCAATTTGTGAAGAATTTACGGTTTTTTATGTGGTAGGAGGGAAGTTTTTCCCAAGTTTTTTTGTGATGAGGTTTGCAGTCTTTGGCCCCCTAGCCCTACTCTGCCTGCGGTCTTTTTTTTCCCTTCCCTTATCTTCATTACTTTGCATTTGGCGGGTTTTTAAATTGAAAACCCAGTTGGGGAAAAGCGTCCAGCCGTCCAAGACTTTTTGTATTCTCCCTTATCCTCATCCGATTTAATTTCCCCATTAATTTCTATCATCTGCAAACAAGGAGACTTCTGAATCTACCCCTTTCCCGTCATGTCGTTCAAATACAAAAAATGTACTGGGTTACTCCCTCCCCTGTACTCACCAAATTGTGGTTGCAGGGGTCGAGTGCTCGGGGCCCCCGCCTCTTCATGGGTCGCTACTAGGTCCTCTCTTCTTGCTCCCTACTTTGCATGTTTCGTTTTTTAAAGTTGTTGGGTTTTTGTATTTTGTGGTTTTGTTGTGTGTGTGTGTGTGTGTGGTGTGGTGTGTGTTTTGTGTGTGTTTTTGTTGTGTGTGTGTGTGGGGTTTTGGGGGTAGGAGTCGAGTCATGTGGTGGTGTGTTTAATGAAAAATATGTATAATTATAAAGTTTTTAACCCAAAAGTGTTCCCCACCAAGGAAGGAGGGGGTTAACGTGTATTTTATAAAACAGGTTTAAAAAAGTTTCGTCTCCCACGCTTGACGGGTTTGCCGGCTTGTTTTGTTTGCCTGGTTAACCAGGTATGGCGGGTTTGATAGTTTTGGGCCTACATATCCATCATGGTACCATCATTCAGGGGGTTGAAGGCCCAAAAAATGGTCAGGTGGTGGTGGCCTGGTGGTTAAATTTGCCATTTCACACAGGAGGCCGGGGGGTCGATTCCCGGTTTTTGACACGTTTCCCCTTAACCTATTGCCCTTTTCCCCCTAGCGAAATAGGTTACCTGATGTTGTGATGGGGGGGGTGATCTGGGGGGACAATTTTTGAGGACCCCCAAAGGGAAATAATTAGCGTCCCGATGACGCATGACGTTCTTGGGTTTCCTTGGTGGCTAACCCTCCCCGGTTAAAAATTTCGAACGAAATCTTATTTATCTTATATCCCTTTGAGGGTTTTCGAGAGTATTTTATTTCCCGGAGCCGGCCCAAGGGGTCAGGCTCGATGGTGCTTGCCGGGCCAACCAGGCTTTTTGTTTCGGGTGGCCCGTGACACATTTCCAATTTAGTTGGGTTTGTCGGGCACCGGTGGAAAATACTTGGCGTTTCCCTTTGAAAGACTTTTCATTTGTTTAACTGTTTCTGATTTTCTGGTAATTTGTTGAAAAAATGGGGGTCCATGAATTTTTGATGCAGTGTTCTCTTATTGTGCTCACGCAACCACGTTTTTCTCATCTTGCACCCCACATCTATCGTCCAGTGTGTTTTATGGCAATGTGAAGGATTTGGGACAAGGTCTTGATCCCTTCCAGGTATATTTATCATGCTATTCTTTCCCCCCGCTCCAGTGGTACATATTTAAGACTATAAGGCGTTCCCATAATTTAAATCCTTTTTTGGGTTATGCGGGCCTTACATCCCCCTTAACAAAAACCAAAGGCTGTACCCCCAACCTAAGCTCGTGACTTGAGTAAGGGAAAATTTAGTTTCCTGAACAAAAAAGTACCACTGTACCACTGGCGCCTGAGATCCTCTGGGGTTTCCCTGGAAAAAAATAAAAAATCTCTGACGCGTCAAATGAGCCCGGTTGGGGTTAACAGGACGATGCTAACCTTAGAACAAATTAGCATCACCCAGATGCTAGTTTTTTTTTATAAAACATTCCCTTTCGGGGGAAAAAAAAAAAAAAAAAAAAACCCCCAAGGAAAATTTTTAAAAAAAAACTTTTTCTACGGGGGTTTTTTAAAAACCCCCTAATTTTTTCTTTTAAAATTTTTTAAAAATTTTTTTTTTTTTATATATATATATATAAATTATATTTATATAAATTTTATTTTTTTTTTTTTTAAAAAAAAAAATTTAAAAAAAAAATTTTCCGACTTTTAGAAATTTTTTTCGGGGGGGAATTTGAATTAAATCTCCCCAAAAAAAAAAGTAAAAATTTTCGGTTTTCACGACGTTTTCATTTTTCCCCTCTTATACTTTAACCGGGTTAATTTTTTTTAAAAAAAAAAAAAGGGGCCAACCCCTTCCCCCTCCCTTTTCCCGACCTTAGGGTTTAAAACCCCCAAAAAAAAAGATGTTTACAAAATTTAAAACAAAAAAGGTTAAAATTTTTTCCCCAAAAAAAGTTTATTTTCCCCTTTTGAAAAAGGGTTTTCACTGTTTTGGGAAAAGAACTTGTATTTTCCAAAAGTTTGCTTTCCCTATTATTTTATAAATTTTTGTTAAATTTTTTAAAAATTTTGGTAGTAATACCAAACCTTTTTTAGTTAATCCCCTGGGGGGGTGGTTTTCCCCCCCCTTTTTTAAAAAAAAATGTTTTTTTTCCCCATAACCCACTTGGTTTTCCCCCTCCCATCTGTTTATTACCCCTTCCCATCTTTGGGGGAAAAAACCCGTGTGGGGGGTTTTCCCAATCCCCTATGGTGTTTTTCCCCCCCCTTTTGGGGGATTAACCCCTCCCAGGTGGGTTTTTTCCCCTCCATTTGGTGGTATTCCAATCCCAACCCGTATTTGTTTAAAAAACCCTCGGGGGGGGAGTTAACCCAGTGTGGGTGGTTTAAAACCCCACCCCCCGTGGGGGGGCCCCAATTTGGTTTTTATTACCCAACCCTTGTGTGGGGGGTTTTTCCCTTTCCCATCTGTGGGTGGGTTTTTCCCCCTACCCATCGTGTGGGTGGTATTACCCCCAACCCATCCTTGGGGGGGTTTTTCCCTACCCATCGTGTGGGTGGAGTTACCCCAAACCCCTTTGGGGGGGTGTTACCCCAACCCCTCTGTGGGTGGTAGTTTCCCAACCCTTTGTGGGGGTTTTCCCCATACCCCCGGGGGGT